GTTATTATTTTGCAGAAATTTCATATTTTAACGGTTCAAGTAAGTTTCAAAAAGAAGATTTTCTTGATTGGTTGCTTGATCTTGAAAATTTCTTTGAAATCATGAAGATTCTCATGAAAAGAAGTATCATATTTGCATCCTACAAAAACTTGATAAAATTGAATTGAAGTGGTGGAAATGGTTACAAGATTATCGAGTTTGCAAAGGTAAGACAAATTTCATTCATGGAACAATGAAAGAGTTTTTGGCAACAAATTTATTTCATGATCATGAGAATATATTGTATATACAATTAAGATACTTCTATGGAGTTGGTAAGTTACATTGCCATGAATATTGTAGTTGAAAAGAAAAAATTCGCATCAAAATATTATTTGTGGTGATATGTTGTAAAATTAATAAAGAAGATACAAAGCTCTTTGTCGAGTGTTGATAATGCATCAACACTGATAATTTGAATATTGAGGAGAAAGTTTTTACAAAAAATCATAAAAATATTGAAGAAGAAGGAGATCTAGAATTGAGCCCCTAAGTAACAAGAGACGATAAATAAAGAAGAATACAATACGCTGTGTGCAAAAAAGAAATTGGTGATGCTACACTTGATATTTCCAGGTTGGTATGAAGGATCAATTGAATCTGAGATGGTGCAACATCAAGAGCAGCTCAAGTTCTATCACAAAGTAAATTGTGTGATTTTCTTGTGTAGAGCATTTAATGATATTTCAATGCTTGTAATTCAATCTTTGTCAACCTAGTTGAAGCATATAGAGAAGAACCTTCAGAAAGAAACTTTCCTATATACAATTTTGGAAGAGGGGCAAGCAATTGAAAAATTCAAGAATAATTTGTTTATTTGGCATGGAGATGGCAGATCTTTAATATGAACTCGAGGCGATGTTCTTCAAATAGAAAGACTGATGTAGGACAAGATTTTAAGACTTTTGTATTTTTAGTTTTATATTTTGATAAATTATTTTATTTATTGAAGAATCTGTAATTTAGTTAAATAATTTAGAATTATTAGGTTTCTTAATTTTATTATTTTAGAATTAAGATTTTGACTAGGATTTTAAATAGTTAAAGTTCTAGTTTCTATTCTCTTAGGTCTCCTAAATTTAGTTGATTTAAGTTTCCTGTTTATTTTAGAATTACTTTTCCTACAGAGTATTAGATTTAATTTTATACATATAGCTATGTAAGCCTCATGGCAAAGACAATCTTTATACAACTTTCATTCATTTATTCAATAAATATTTCTCTTCCTTATGGATTCAAGTTCTATTTTTCTCGTGAATTCTGAGACTCTTTCGTCTACTAGAACGATATCTAGTCCCCGTGTATTCCGCTGCGTCATCTCCTCACCTCGCCTTACCTCCTGTAGCCTCTTCGTTCGTCGATTCTCTCTCTCTCTCTCTCGTCGCCTCTTCTATCTCAGAGGCTAGGTTCAAATAGAAAAGGAAAAGCAGAGGGGCACAGACCCTCTTCTCCCTCTGGTTTACATCTGCTCTGTCTTTTTTTTTTTTTTTGAATGAAACTTTTTCAAAATGATGTCGTTTTGGAGGTGCGACAGGACGTATGCAGGACAGTACCGCAGGACTGACGCGAACCAAGGATCGGGACTGCAAATGTCAAAGCACATATTAATTATGTATTAATTAACATTACAGATTTTTTACTCTCGTCGATAGGGCATGAAGACCTTTTTTTTTTTTTTTTTTTGTAAAACTAGGAACTAAAATAATTAAGTAGGACAGTTCAATGATTATCTTTCTGGTGATAGACTAGCCGACGAGAGCATACATCATACAATGTGATTAGCAATACATGGTGGAGCAAAATAAAAATATGTAAGGTATCAGTTGTGGGAGAGGCTTGATTTCTAGAATATCCGCAGCACTGTTTCCTTGCAGTAGATATGATTAATCACTTGGACTCCTAGCTGCTGGCTATATTCAGGACCTGCAATGTATTGGATTTAATTACTCAATGATGGTTTAGCATTTTATCTAAACCCATTGATAGGGTTATTTTGACAAGCAAGAGTCGGTTTCCCATTCATGTTCTGTACACTTTTGTGTCCGCGCCTAAATTTTAGGCTCACATCACGGAGTGCTCAAATTCGGCTTCTAGACTTGAAGCAGTCTCCTATGTTATTTCTGCCAAAATCATAAAACCCATTGAGCCCCATCTTATCTCGGATAATTCCTCCATCCAGAAGTACAGGCCCCGACAGCCCTGCTTGAACCATCAGTCGTTCATGTTTGTAATTGCAAAATAGTGTAGTGTGCAGAGATAAAAATGGGTGTGATTTGATACTTGTGGTTTGGAATAGGGTGGAGGTATGCTGTCCGATTCAAGGGTCAGAAGTGATAAGTGTAGGCCGTTAATAGGGTAGGTTTGTATTTGGGAGAGAAGCCAGTCGATGAGATTCTGACGTTCCAAAGGGACCACAAGATGATCTGGTAAATAATGATTCCAAGCAACATAGTGGAATATCGGAGAACTGCGGTGTTGACAATTTTGTATGCGGACTCCAATCAGTGAAGCACAAGGTGAAAGAGTCCTTTGAGATAGATAGAAGGGTAACCAAATGGAGTATCGCCAGTGATCTTGTGGATGTCTGGAAATTCTCTAAGATTATGGCAAGTGGGTTTCGTGCAGAGCTAATTAAAACACAAAGAGTGCTAAGTATATATCGAAGGTGAAAATGTTATCGACAGTAAGAGCTAGGGAATTATGGTGAATTGATGCGTTGATGTAAGCATAACATAAAATGAAAGAAAGTGGGTTTTTATTCTAGGTGCTAGACATGGATAGCCAATGCCTAGATACCAATCCATTGATAAAGGAGGGTGATTATGGTGGTAATATTTTATCTTTTTAAAGAGATATGCTGGCCGCAGATTTTTATAGGTATGAGAAGTTCGAACATATGTCTCAAGAATATTATCCAAAATACTTGATCTCGTCACCCGAAGAAAACCAAGGTAAGAGTGATACCTTCCATGATTGTTACCAATGAATGGAAGAGGAGGAGCAACAAAGGAATTAATTATTGAGGGTCCACCACGCAATAAATATGCACACGCCACAAGTCACTAATTTTTCAAGGACACTTCATCCCTAATGGAGGACCCGATAATGAGCATCTCCAAAGTAAACCAGATGCACACCACAGTTATGCAGGCAAAGTGATGTGCGTTAAGCCATTCCTAGATTGGAGGTTTTGGTTCTCCTTTTCAATTAATATTTCTGTGACTTTTTGAGTGATTACCTCTCTCCAGTGTTGGGTAGCTCTCAGTGGTCTAAGGGTGGGATTCTTTAAATTTTGGCTATTAAAGAACCTTAACCCACAAGGCATTCTATTGATCACGTTCGCAGCGCCAACCCTAGTTTTGGCCTATCGCAACAACGGTTACTCAGGTTGGATAATTAGCTATTACCCAATAACCCCCGAAGTGTTTAGGTTTGGTCACAGGTTCCCACTAATGGGCAATGGATTTTGCGGACGCAGAATTTGAACCCAATGGAGTAAGTCCTATTGATTTTGTCAAGAGCTTTACAAGTGGGATGGGAAGTAAATTACATTGCATAATGTACGAGGGAATGGCGGCATTTACATACTTTAATGAGAGTGGTGTCGCCAGCTTTTTTGATGAATAGTATATAGCTCTTCCAACCACATAGATTTGGACTGAATATTTGTGCAACGAGAAGGGTAGGTGGCTCTGTTTGGGGTCTGTTAGATGGATAGGGCAGCCTAGATATTTGCCAAGATTAGTGGTTTTTGGGATTTTGGAGAGTGAGGGCAAGCGTGTGCTTGGATTATGTATTAAGGTTGGCTGA